CCATAATGGACAGCGTGAGTAATACACTAAAAAAATATTCAACAATTTCATCCTCCAATAACATTATGAACCTACAGAACATGACCAAGTCTAATACATCACTAGAAACCTTATTTCTTGTTCAATGTTATCAGCTCCCTTCTACTGTGACCCGACTGCGCTCTTTGTCTCAGAGTCAGATGGTTTCTTTGCACCGCTGTTCTCTTGCTCGTGTCAGACATAAACATGTCACTTCACACACAGAGACATGCCGCCCGGGGTGAGACCATTACAGCGGGGCTCATATGAGCTGATCTCCAACGACAGAGTGCTGTTTGTGTCAGAACATCGTGAGCTTCCCATGAGGAGAGCGGAGAACATGATAGACTGCGAGATGCATGAGAGAAATGCCAAGTGTGTGTCTGTGTGTTTTGGTTTTCCTTCAGTTACCACCATATCATTCTCTAATAATCAGAAGATCACTATCACTAAGGTTATGACTTCACCAGACTCTTTTTTCTTCTGTCTTGAATAAGACGAACATAACAACAAAAAAAACAAAATAGCGAAGCTTGCCATGTTAGCGAAAAACTAGAAAGCGTAAACTCCTGAAGATTTTCCCAGGGCAGAAGACTTAATGAATGTTACAAAACTGTGACACTGGAGACTCCTTCCATAAACATTAAATAAACAAATAATCTCCTTACAGAAAGCTTGACCATATCAATGATACTACATCAGATTTTTTTATCTGTTTGTTATTAATCACAAGGACACAAGAAGTGAAACCTGGCCTCTTGTTGCGTTAGAGAAATGCAGCTCATAGACACTTATGTGCAAACTACTTATTTTCTAAAAATATTAAACATTTAAATTCCATTACAGTAACTGTGTCACTTGAACACACCCTAGAACAAGACCTGCTCCATTCCTGAGATTGTGTAACAACGAGAGCAGCTAATTTCAGCGAGAACATGGTGAAAATACTTGCCTGTCCTCCTTTAGGCTGGTACTTGATGTTATCCGTGGAGCCAATCTTGGACTTGATGTTCTTCAAGTCAGGCATGGGCTGGTTGATGACACGCAGCAGCTTGGACGCCGTGGCAGGAGATTTCGGGGGTGTGCGGATGACGGCCACCTTCTTCTCCTGTGAAAGCAGGCTGAGGGATTTGGGGGTGCCCGGGGTGCGCGGGGTGCCTGGGGTGCGACAGGACGAGCTGGGTGGAGTGCCGGGAGTGATGGCCGTGGAGCCGGGAGTACGGGGAGTGGAGGTGCCGGAGCGAGCAGAGCGGGAACGCACCGACTCTATGCCTACACATCAAATAAAAACACAGGACAGCGAATTTTAGAATGCTGTTCAGATTTAAATGGCAAAATCACAGAGCTTGTATGTTTACAGCATTCTCAACTCTACAACGGCTATTTATTTCAATATGGATGATTTTCTGTGTGTAAAACTGTAAAAAAAAAAAAAGAAAAAAAAAGAAAGGAAAATGACATTGAACAGAAATGAATACATTTCTAAAACCATAATTGTGCCTCCTAGTGGAACAGGATGGTATGACACAGAAGACGTGATGGTTAAAAATGGAGGATCTACCTGTCATACTGGCAGATCGACCTGTCCTGTGTTCAGCTCTGACTTCACTACGGAAAGCTACAGGAGAAAACAGAGGAGAGGAGAGATGGAGAAGGGTAAAGAAGAGAAGAGAAGAGAAGACAATAAAGGTGAAGAGAAAAAATTTGAAGCGAAGACGAGAAGAGAAAAGAAGAGAAGACATTTAAAGAGAAGAGAAGAAAAAAGAAAAGCAGTAAGAAGACAGCTAAAAGAGGAGTTAAGCCTCGTGTTCTGTCCGTCTATCAGTAATGTTGACAGTATCAGCACACTTTCAGAACTATTAGTCAGTTCGTCGTGTCTTAATCAAAGCGAAATGAATACTTTTGGCTTGTTTACTAATTGGTTTGGTTTGGTTTCACACTTCACATAATTAAATGAACCAAAAATCAAACAAAATGTGACAACCAAAAAACATTTGTCACATGAAAGTGCACATGGAATCACAAAAATCACCCGAGTACAGAGAACATGGAGCTGGCACTAAATTCATGATTAGATAATTTTACAAATAACTACAGGGTGTCCCAAAAGTCTCCATACATGGGGAAATTAATGCTTTTAAGCAAAACGTCTTCTAAAATTTTTCATACTTAGTTTATATTATATATTATTTTTCAGATAGCCTTTAAGAATGCCTTTGACAAAAGAAGAACGTATTGAAATCATTCTCATGGCTGGATCGGGAAGCTGCCGCAAGGTTGCGAGGGACTTTAACAGGAAACATGGCAAGAACATCACACACGACACTGCTGCCAAACTTATTAACAAACTCAAGAAGACTGGAAGTGTTGTGGACCAATCGAGAAGCGGATGTCCACCAACATCCACTGACGAAGACACAACCTCCCTGAGTCACATGAACGAGTATTAAAGTGTGTGTATGGCTTACATGTGGGCCTGCGTGGTGCTGTTGATCCAGAGCTAGTGATGGAGGTTGAGCTCTCTTCTTGTTCGCTGGTGTGTGCACGCCGAGTCAGGATGGAGGCCGGCCGAGGCAGGGACGATCTCTTCTCAGGGCTCCGAGATCCTCCGTCCTGAAAAACACATTCAGCTTACATCTTCAAAAGCCTTACACTCTGACCACAGCACATAAACACACCACGCTCCACAGCAATCACACAGCTAACGCTCCAAAAACACTCACAGATGGATGTGTGCACTGCTTTAACTGTACACCACATCAGAACACAGCTCCTGTTTATAAAGTGTGTATGACCTGTGAGCTGTTATAACATGGAATCAAAGAGTCCCTTAATTACAGATATAAGTAACAAAACTAGATATCATCTACGAATGACACTACACTACAATCCTCATTCCTGTCCCAAATTACTGGGTTGATGTGTTTATTTTCATTTCCTAAATGTATGAAGCGTAATTTTCCTAAAGTTATACTCTCCGGTTTTAACTATAATAAAATTAAAAATAACACTTTACTCAGGGATAGTGTTCATGGAGCTTCTTTACATTAGATCTACATACGTCCTTCATGGCAACTGACTGACTGATAAAACTGCAAACATTTATGAAAGCTTATTCCAATATAATCTGTCTTCAAGACTACTTTCGTCAAGTTTGAGTGTCAATATGAAATAACACCTGGGCCAAGTGACTTTTGTTGACTTTATGTTGACATAAACTGTGTTATGGCACTTCGCAGGTTGACTTACAATGCAATGTCAGGGCAAATTCTGCTCATCAAATTTTAATGAATTTTAATGAGTTTCATTTTACTATTTTTTAAATGAATCCTTATGGCACCAACATGACACTATAATGACAGTTACGTAAACTTAAGTGAGTTAATTTTCAACTAAAGTTTAAATTACACTAAAGATTTTACTAATAATAATGACATTGTGACTGTAATGACAAAGCAACGTAAACTTAAATGTATTTCAATTTATTAAATAAAAGATTGCTATGAACACTTATGACAGTGATATGACAGTTAGGTAAACTTTAGTGAGTTTCATTTTACTAAATAACAGATTGTTATGAATACTTGTGGCACTGATATGACACAGCAATGACAGCTATATACTTAAGTGAGTTTAATTTTATTAAACTAAAGGATTTATTAATAATAATATGACACATAATCTGTAATGACAAAGTTATGTAACTTAAGAGTATTTCATTTCATTAAATAAAATGATTGATTGCTATGAATACTTATGGCACTGATATGACACAGTAATGACAGAGTTATTAAATACTTATGGCACTGGTATCATACTGTAATGACAGTGTTATATAAATTTAAGTGAGCTATATTTTAATAAACAAAATATTTTTATGAATACTTCAACTGAATTGACACCGAATTGACAGTTATTTTATTTTAATAAATAAAAGATTGTTATGTATACTTATGGAACTGATATGACCATGTAATGAGAGTTATGTATAATTAAATGTTTCTTTTTAATAAACAAAAGATTTTTATGAATACTTATGAAATTGTAATGACAGTTATGAAAATTAAGTGTGATTCATTTTAATAAACGAAAGATTGCTGAGTACTTATAACACTGATAGGACACTGAAATAACAGAGTTATGTAAACCAAAGTAACCTTCACTTTAATAAATTAAAGATTCTTATGAATACTTATGAGATTGCCATGACATTGTAATGACATGTGTTATGTAAAATTAAGTGAGTTTCATTTTACTAAATGAAAGATTGTTATTAATAATTACGGCACTGATATGACACTGTAATGACAGTCATGCATGTTTTTTTTGTCATTTGACTCAGGTGTTACATCAACCTCAGTGAAATTATCTTAATAAAACTGACCTCAGGTGGAATAAGCCTTTATAAGTATTTATGCAGGTCTATGCCACTTGTCATAAAGGGCCTGTGTAGGCTTTGTGAAGCCTTATGAACACCACCTTTCAGTCAAGTGTTAGCAAAACAGCTTTAGGCCCTTTCTTACCTTTTCTAAATTCCTGTTAATTGAGAGGGAATCTTGAGGGCCTGTTGAGAAGGGGCGGGGCCCATCGGCCTCCACCAATGAGCTTGTTTTATTGTAGGAGCAGGTGGAGTTAGGGCGGGGCTGGGGAAGAGCCGACGCCCGCGTTTTACAGGTGGGGATCTTTGTTAGTGATGTTGGGCTGGGGGTCTGTGATGAACGGTGGTATGAAGATGCACATGTTTGTTCATGCAAAAGAAAAACCAATGGAGGAGAAAGTCATGTGAGAGAGGATTAAATCAAAAGATCACAATGATATCAATGGGATAATAATGAGCATGGCAAAACAATTGAATTTCATGAACAAATGATGTAATAATCTATTCACATCCTGTCTATGAGAAGCGCTTAATCTGAAATCAAATGAAATTCTATTACATAAATAACACATTACATAGATTTAGGTCTGTTTTACAAATGTGA